ACAATTGAGGCACACTGCAGAGCGTTTGAGGCATACTTGCGGCAAGCGCACATACTTTCACAGTTTCTCTTGCATCTGCAGAAAATTAATTTCAGAAGTTCGGTAGGTATTGGAATTTTGAAAGTTTTGATTGGTATCCAAATTTTTCCATGCATTTTCCAGCCCCAATTTTCAGGATCGCAGTATTTTTTTTTTTTGAGGTAAATTCTAACACTGTGGAAACGAGCTGCATCTTGTGTTGACGGAAGCGATGATAAGTTAAATGTAATTTTGGTCACAGTTATAGCGAATAGTTTATATCTCATGCTTTCAAGAATCATCTTTATTTCCACCACATAAAGAGACGAAAAATCGTTCACCGACGACGGTAGACAAATATGGCTCGGTTTTTCACTGAGAAATAATGTTGTTCCGCTAGCTAACTGAGGATGGTTCTGTAACTGAGAATGAATTTAAGTTTGCTGATCTTATAAGCTACTAATAATGTGTCGCATTCTGAAAAAGCATGGAGAAACAGCAAATTCTCTGCAATGACGTCGTCACATATAAAACTTGAAGGACACAGTATAATCGATGCGACTTTTGAAGGTTTAAACAAATTGGACACTTTGGGCATAACAACATTGGACTGCTCCCTTCCTAATGCTGTCAGCAAGATAAGAATGTCAATGTTCTCTGCTACGACGGTCACAAAATCATTTGGTTGGAATGCAGCAAGCGCAGAATGGATGATGACTGTATATGCATCAGATTCAGCTTGGTCGACACTGAAACCCACTTCTGATAAAGCAGTTTTAAGAAGGTCTATTAAGTTTGTTTTGTTCTTTTCATTACCGAGAAATTTATTAAACTTTATCTCTGTCCATTGGTGCTTTTTCATTTGACGCAAGCGCACGAGTTGGGGTAATTTTAATGGTTCGTTTTTATCTTATTCTTCCGAGTAATCAAGAATCCGGTTAAATTCGTAGCGCTGTAAAACCCAGAAAAATAATGAAATTATACAAATTTGCAGTAAAAATGATTCGTTGCAAACCCTCTATAATATTCCTCTGACATAATTTTATTGTAAAATGAATTTAAAAAAGTTAGGGCCGAAAAGAAAATTTGTTCAAAAATTTTTAGTTATTTTTGTTTACAACTTTTTTATTTTCCATTTTCGATTAAAAGTAATAGAAATAAAGTTGTAGACAATTTATTTTGCTACAAATATAAAATTTTGATAAAATTTTAGGGTTGTTTGTTTACCAGATACATCGCGAAAACCCTTTCCCCCTCTTTTCACAAACTGAACTTAAGCTTATACTTACTCTCCCACCACATAAAAAAAAATAAAATTGCGGCCTCCAAATGCGCGCTAAGGCATAAACAATGTAAGATTTCAATGGACTATTCTATTACATTTGTCGTACATGGTGCTTTTGGTCTGCAGCTTTTTTAAACGTGGAAGTACTAGTTTGCTTTTAGCTATTGTAGTGATGGTGCAAGCACTCCTGACCACGGCACAGTAGGCGAAATTTGGTTTAGTCCCCACTTCCATGAAAAACGCATTGTACTATGCACTGTATAATTCCACTTACAATAGAACCTTTCTGCGTTTACGTGAACTTGACTCCGCAGTCGCGCAGCTCCATGGTCAGTAGTATTTGAACTATCTTTAAATGGTCGTAGGTGATATTCCACCACAAAAAGATTTACAACTTAACGTTTAGACAGTTTTTCAACAAGTTGATAAATATTACTAATTTTTAATTTATAAACTGTTGCACTCCAAAAGATCTGATTTTTGACGCTTGTCGACATAAATAAAGAAAGGTGTATTTATTTTAAGCACTTACGGTAATTATTGTTAATTTTATATTGATCAAATCTTTGTGAAAAACCTTTGTGACATACTGTATAACCAGCAACAAAAATACTAAAAAAGTTGTCAATATTGTTCTTCCTCCAAGACAAATTCGACCTGACTATGAATAGATATGAAAGAATAAAACATGTAAACATTTTATGCAAATCTATCGATTACTAGTCCACCTGGTTTCCGGCCGACGAAAACTTCTTCAAGGAGAATATCAAATAGACGAAAATATTCAATAGAATTAGATTATAGATTCCTTACATGGAAAACGCATCAATGGGAAGAGTGTATTAAATAGAGCACCGGATATTACCGCGGCCTCTTTCTACCACTACTATAAGTTCGATATTTTTATTATGTAAAGCTCACATCAATAGATACCAAAGATAAAGGGTTTAGAATGTCTAGTAGTTATTTTTAACGTTGGAGTATGAGGTTTCGCAAGAATGGTTAATAAACTTAGCTTAACGATTTACTCGAAACCTGTTTAATGGTCGTTGGTAACCAGTTTATGTGCGTGCGTCAATATGCAGAGATAAAATTAAAATTAAACCAATTGCGGCCAAATTTGAAAATTTATCATTTTATCAAGCATACGCGACATCATTCACGACATTGTCAACTGCTTATTAAAAAGTATCACCGATGTATTTCACATATATTTTAAGCATATTTTTTCTTCCTCGTGTTTGGCCGAATAATAAACACATTGTGTTTTTGTATTTATTTGTATTTTTAGTAGTCACGCGACAGTTTGGCATGATAATTATTATACTTCCTTTGTTTGCTGCTTTCTTACAGTATTTATTGTGTGTTATCCATTAGTTCTTAACTTTCAGAAAGTATTAAAACCTGTGCCGAAATCTGGTACGTGAATTTTGTCTTTTCTAATCTACTTTCGTCTCTATTTGTCAGTGTCATATTTAGGACCTGCTATCTCTTTTTCTATTTCTTCTCTCAAGCTTATTCGTGGTCTTTATCCTCTTTCATTCCTTTTGGATTCTTCTTCTTCAGTGTCTTATCCGGTCCGGATGTTGGCGATCATCAAGGCTATCATGGTTTTTGTTGACTGCTCTGCGAAACAGCTCCGCTGAGGTCATACCAAACCATTGTCGGAGATTTTTCAACCACGAGATACGACGGCGTCCCGGTCCTCTTCTGCCAAATACTTTAACCTGCAAGAGTTGAAGAATTCGATATTTTTCTTCGTTCCGCATCACGTGGCCGAGGTACTCAAGCTTACGTTGTTTAATTAAATTAAGCACTTCTTTTTCTGTTGTCATGCGCTGTAGGACCTCAACGTTGGTGACATGGTCCACATAAGATATTTTTAGTATCCTTCTGTATAGCCACATCTCTTGGATTCTACTCGTACCAATTTTTTTGGGTTTTTGTGTTTGGGTCTGTACGTGTCTGTAATATATTAATTGTCTAATTCATATTTCGTCTGTCATGTCATGAATTGCAATATTATTATTCTCTTTCCGTCTTAATATTCTCCGTCAAATAAGCAGTGTTCTGGTGATTTCGCTTTCGATGAACAATTTGTATTTTCTAAGAGATCTTCTTAAGTATCTTCGAAGAGATCTTCTTAAGTATCTTCTAAGAGATTTGTATCTGCTAAGAGAGATAACTCTCTTAGCAGACTGAGTTGGCATCTTCGCTATCGTAGAACCGAATGGGCACGCGAAATATATTTAAAAAGAGAAGAATTCGGCGAATTCCATAATATTATGGAAGACTTATGGCTGCAGGAGAGAATAGAAGTGCAACGGAAGCTCATTACATCAGGAATGTACTTTAAAACTATTTTTGTCGAAATAATTCATTTTAATATGATCTATATGTTTGTATATGCTGTAAATAAACGCATAATTTACTTAACAGATATTTTCATTTCTTCAGCTATTTCTTGCCATGCACTACGTTGAACATTACGTAAGTGATAACTAGAATCCCTTTGATCCCTTAAACATTTGTGCCTGTAAACCAAGTTAATACATTTTTCTAGCGTTTCTGTTTCGGAATCTTTTATTTACTAAAATATAGTCTATTTGATTCCTAATAATTCTCCCGGGTCTCTCTTGAGAGGATTTTCATGTGTACAGCTTGCGATGTGGTAATTGGAAGAATGTGTTGGTGACAACTAGTTCTGAGTCTTCTGCGAATTTTTCTAGGAGGTCTCCCCTCTCGTAAGTCCATGTGCTCCAATGTACTGTGTCTTACCTCCAGCTCTAATCTTGGCATTAAAGTCGCCCATAATGATGAGAACTTCCTGTCGAGGAATTTTCTGTATGATACTGTAAAGTCTTTATTAATTTTAATTTATTGTTCTTAATTTAATTTACTACAGGTTCAATATTTATAACACAAACTTAATTTCCTTACAGTTTATTTATAATAATTTATCTTACAATAATTTATTATTACGACCGTTACATTTAACTACCCGTTCGCGATTTTCATTTCTAACTGCTGGCCACAATAAAAGCTTCGTTATTATATATGAAAATACAACTATTCGAGAGTTCAGGCGAATCCCTCTGATTATACTAGGCTGGGTCATCATTAGACCGGTCTCTGGAAACTTCGAATCGTAGCGGAGCGACCGTTTTAGGTAGATTTCTGCCAGCTGATCGAATGGTCTCGTAGAATCTACAACATATTATTGAATAAACATGTTTACAGGTTTTTTTAATATGACTAATTTTTACGTAACAATACTGTTGATGTTCTGATAGAACTCAATTGCTTCTTCCTCCACTTTGTCTGCAGAGGGAGCATAGACTTGGATGATGTTTATATTAATAGGGTTGGCTTCTACTTGTAGTTCACTGCACTCTCTCTGATATTGGTGTAAAGTTAGTAACGCCTTTGACAACTTTGAGTGATACGATTATTCCGACTCCATATTCATGTGATCCATTACTTTTTCCCGAGTAATATACCTTGTGATTTTCTATTTGTATTTCTTCGGAATCTAGCGATTTCATTTCTGCTATTCACATCGACATGTACTGTATGTATTTATATAAATAACTTTATATAAATGTATACTAACCAGATATTGAATATAATAAAATATAACGTTTTATTTGTATTGTGTTAAAGCACTTTATTAATATTGTTTTTTTATTTATTTCAGGAGGACGAAAAGGTCATCGAATTAGTAAATAAATACGGAGCCAAAAAATGGACGCTTATAGCCCGGCATCTAAAAGGCCGAATCGGCAAACAATGTCGAGAACGATGGCACAACCACCTAAACCCGAAAATAAAAAAGAGCGCCTGGACCGAACAAGAAGACGATATCATCTACAAGGCACATCAAGTCTTAGGTAACCAATGGGCACGAATAGCGAAGCTATTGCCCGGCCGGACTGACAACGCCATCAAGAACCATTGGAATTCAACGATGAGGCGGAAATACGAGTCGGAGAACCGTGATCATGGGGAGTCCAAGCGTGGAAGACAACGGAGGAATATAAGGCCTTCAGAGAACTTCTATTCTCATTACGGCCACCAAAGGACACAAGAGACGCAGGTGGGCCACGAAGGCTTTCCTATAAAGAAGGAAAATTTATTGCTGAAACTAAAGGAGGAGGTATTTATAAGTAGTTGAGAAATGTGTGGTGAATACTTGATATGAAAGTATTAGATGCCTGGTAGAAATAAATTATATAATTGTTGCTTGTGCACTAATCGATTAAATCCAATATATTTTGTTGACATATTTTTTGCAGTGCCCTCTATCAAAAAGTCGAAAGCCTTTACCTTTCTCTCTAAATAACCTGCTTCTCTCTAAATAACAATGCTTAAAACTGTTCATTCATTTAATTAGTTATTTTAAGGGAAAAATAAACTTCAGATACAAAATTTAACTACCTATTTAATTACGATTGATGAGATCTGAATAAAAATGTACTAGTCATTAAAATATGTTGATACAAAGAGATATATCGTGTTTTATATCGCCATAAATTAATGATACACGTATAGAAAAATACTGATGTTGCCATTAATCAACAAAACGTTAATAATATCTAATTTATATAGCGCTAAGTTGTTTATGATGAAGTCTACAAAGAAACATAATTATCTCGGAATAATAATGCAAAATGAGAATTTATTTATTATTATATTAACAGTTTAAATAAAAAGTAATAGTTGATAAGCCGGTCTCATATCTCAAAAAATAGGTTCTTTAATTGACAAAAATAAGTACTAGACCAACGTCTAGTATGTCCCGATTTACAATGAAATTATTAACATGTGGCGATATAATTTCGAGCTGTAAGGTAGGGATATAATATCTTCCATAAATATAGGTAGGCTTAAGCTCGATTCAGACACATCAGTCACGTCTCGTCACAGTGATTGCTCCGAACTGAACAATCCGTCATACAAAATATTCTTTAATACAAAATGTTGCCGGCATTCACACTCATCAGTTGACAAACAGTTTCCCAGCTGTCAGATAGTTGATAGTTCTGTGACCAAACAGAATCGGTTCGGCGCCGAGACTATGACGGGACTGATGTGTCTGAATCGACCTTTAGATGGGCTGGGTTAAGTATATGTCAAGAGCAAATGAAAACTACTCACCCAGACAGACGAACCCTATTAGACCTACAACTAGGGAAAAAGAAGACCAGGACTGGTGGATGATGAGGACGAAGACGCGAGGAAGATCGGTGAACCGTAACGAATGGAGAAATAGCCTGGGACTCAAAATACCTTACAAGCGCCCCAACTAAGTTTTGGCGGAAGTACACGCCATAGACATCACTACACACAGAAGTGTACTGTTAGATCTGGTAAAAATTGGCAGCAAACAATAAGGTAGCTTCGACGTAAGTGTAAGCTCATAAAGGGATATAAGTGGAAATAAAAATTCTGACAAGTCGATAAAAGAGGAAGCAAACTAACCTTTCTTTTGTGACGTAACTAAAAGCTACGTATAAAATACAAAACAACTACAATTTCATTGGACTGATCCTCCAGGACTGGCCTAAAAACATTAAGCTGACAAAAAGGTCATCTCACCGGACCCTACTCTCTAAGGTATCATTTCAATGAGATAGTCAAATCGGACAGTGAGTACTATCATTTCATGGACAAAAAGCACGACGCAAACTGTGGACATGGGTTATTCCACGGTTTATTCCGTGTCCACATTTGGTAACGAACCAAAAATTCACGAAAAAATATTCCTGCATCCTCTGTAGGATACGACCGTAATTAGTATAAGTACTGCAATTACCGAAAACTCGAAAAAAGTTGTGCCGAAACAATTCAAATGATACAAAGGCCTTTTGGATATAAATGCAAGAGAAAAATAATGATAATAAACGGGATGTGGTGCTCCGAGAGTGACATAATTGTTTTGCATTTAATTTAATTTAATTATTTATTTTATTTTATTTCGATTCAACTAAATTCGATTTGACGCAACTCGATTCAATTTGATTCGATCTGATTCGACTCGACCCGACACGATTCCATTCGATTCTACGTGACTCGATCCGATTCTACTCGATTCCATTCGATTCAATTCCATTCGATTCGATTCCATTTGATATTCGGTTCAATTGGATTATTTTATATTTAATTTATTTAATAAACACGCATGGGACTGCTTTTACTACTCCACATAGTGTGTGATCGCTCGATCTGTCGTTACAGTATTTACTGTTGGTTTTATTTTTTCACACCTTTGTGTGATCCACCGCTCCGAACGTAGCTTGCAATAAGAAAACTATGCTTCCAATAATGGTTCACCCGTTTTAAAATTGTCCTCTCTTCTAATGACAGTAACCTGCCCGCATCCTTGTCAACCTTTCTGCACAACACTACCGGAAAATGTTGAACACGCAAGAGTAGCATTTGAAGAGGAAAATACCAGAAAAAGATTCGCTTTAAGTCGCTCTGGGTGACTTTAATTCGATCATGCAGTTTTTTTTGTCCCGGATATGGAGGTTTTATGAATATGCTTCAAGAGGTCAAACAATAAACAACGAATTTTCGTGTAAATTTCCAAAAATATGTAAAAAACAGAAGAAAACGGCATTTTTGGTCGAGGTATTTTCATCACATTAATGTGCCAGCACATTCCTCGTACTCAGTTTTAGCAATATACAAGATTGCACAACTCTACTAGTCTTGCTATAGTCCCGGCTTTGCGATTTTCTGTGTTTAAAAAACTGAAAATATCGTTTAAAAGAAATTTCAATTACATTAACTTAAATGTCGTTGAGACTTAAAAACCGATGGGAGCGTGCTCAAGTAAAATGAAAATTACATTAAAATATGCCACAAGCTAGATGACAAAGAATAAAGCATGAATGAACGAAAGTCTAATACTTTAGACGGATTACGTATTTCGAGGCCGAAAGTCATTATTTATTAATAATTGTAACTAACAAATAAGCGCGACTAAATAGCATAACTTGTTCATAAGTCAAACGGTTTTTAGAGAGAATTTAAGGGATTATTATAGGGAGAATACGGTAAGAAAGAAATATGGAAATGTTTATTAATTGTGAAAATACAATAAAAAGAATTAATTGACGATTATTTTATTATCCCTATCCAATAGCTTCTTAGTTCCGTGGCTGTAAGTAAAATTTGCAAAAACAGTATCAAGTACTACAATTCACTAATTTGTTTTGCGTCTACATGCTACGGACAATTGTAAGGAATACTTTTAATTTGAAATGAAAGCCTTATATACTCTATCAAAAACCTTAGTCATATCTTCAAATAATATATAACCTGATTACCCAGTTACACAACTGGTGACGGCAGTATCATTTCCATATTTCACTGCTTGATTGATAAGTTATTTTTGATTTTATTCAAATTCCATTATCTTACTGGTTTTTGAACATTCTTTGTGGATTGAATTATAAAAAGCATGAATGTAGTAACCATTTTTATTAGCATTATTTTACAATAAAAAACAGGTTTTGTGAAAAATTCTAACTGCTTATAAATACCTCCAGAAAGGAGTATTGTTCTTAAAATTTTTAAGAACCAAGTTGACAATAAAATTTTATCTGGTGCAACTCAGATCAATAAACTTGAGTTTATAATCTGAATTATTTTATTTTACTTAAAATTGTTGAAAATTTCATATAGTGACAAACAAATCAATGGGTTTTCCTTCTCTATATGTGAATTCTATTCTTCATATGTTTCTATCCTACTTCAGGATACTATTAATGCCCTTCACAGATATTTGTCGTCTAAAGGTACGCGCGCATTTTCTCTTCGCACGTGAGATGACCTCACTAAATTGCATGACTCTTGTTTTACAACCCAAGGTTACGCAAATGACCTAGTTGTTACAATTAGGGGCAATCATGATCTGACTATATATATTCTCTTGCAAACTGCTCTTGACGAAATTAAAAATTGGTGCTCGAAGAACGGCTTAAATGTCAACCCCAGTAGAACGACTGTGATACCTTTCACAAGAAGACTTAAATGCAATTGAAAGGCTCCAATTATTAAAGACCTCACATTAGACTATTCCAAATAAGTAAAATATTTGGGGGTAACCCTAGATCAAAAACTCACCTGGAATAGTCCTATTGAAAAAATCTTATTTGGTGGCAAGTTGAACCTGCCGCATGGCACTTGGAAAGACTATATGAAACGATTATTAGGCAAAAAAAAACACAACAAACAACAGCTAACGCCAAGCTGCAAAAAGTACAGCGGCTTGTTTTTGGGAATGACAGGGGCAATGTCAACATGCCCCACTGCAGCTCTAGAGGCGATGCTGAACTTTCCTCCCTTGCATTTCTACATAAGGAGGGAGGCACCAACCACCACCTTAAAACTGCGACAAACGCAAATAATAAAACCTAGAGATCAAGTTCGCCACTTAAAAATGTTGAAAACAATTCTATTGGATTCAAAAAGTTGAACCAAAACTGTAAGAAGGTAACCTTGTATGGTATAAGGATGGATCTAAGATAGATGAAAAGATAGGAGTGGGAGTTACTGACCCCAATTTCAGACGATCCAAATCTCTTTGAAACGCCCCAACTATCTTAAATGAAGAAGTATATGGTACATACTTCTTTGCGCATTTTCTCTTATTTTGTCATTACATTTGTCAACTTTATTTCTGCAATATACATTCATTCACAGTTGTTCCTATGACGACCTTTGAAAATTTAACTAACTTTCAGTTTCACTGCACTTTTTCTATCACGCAACATACACCAGTGACTTCTTTTCACTGAGCCCATTTTTCTCTAGCTCTATTGCACGTTTTACTAACTATTAGCTCATTAGTTTGTCGTACTGATACCAGCAGCATCATTTTCAAATAAACATGCCAGTTTTAAATCGTTTTCATTAAAAACTTTTTTTGTTCCATTTTGGTTGTTAAATGTCTAAATAGGTTATCCTCATAAATTTTCTCCATTCCGTTATTTTCAACTTTTGGTTACTATAGTTCTCGAAATAAATTTTCTACTTCACTCTATATGGTTGTCTGGCTGTATTTCATTATGTTTTTCGATATATCATAACAGATATTCTATTCTAATTCCATTTTTTTCAATGCTTTACTTTTAACGTGTAAGCAATTTCGCTTTTTATATATAGGTGTATATTGACAATTACTTGCATGCAATACGTAGTAGATTGACATTTACTATTTTTTCATGTTATATCGTGTGTTATATATGGATGACACTCTTATTTTTAATGCTCTATTTTAGGATTGGACGGTTGAAATGTTTGACCATGCCAGCAGCCAGTCGAGTTATTCGACAGGAGCTCCAACACCCAGCCCTACGCCACAAATGGCTAGTGTCTACGAAAGAATCAACCCTTCTCCACCCCAACAAGCACAAAATTCCAACGAGCCTATGTCTTTCAACTTCATCAGTATGTATGGAAACCAAACTTCACCTGTCAAATTGACGCCCATGAACGACGATGCTTTGTCAGACTTCGATATGGGCTTCTATCAATCACCTGGTGTCAGTCCGTTGAAAACGACGAATAGGCACTTTATCAAATCAAGTAAGTATGTTCTTAAATTAATGATTTTTTCAAATGAAGTAGTACAGAGTAAGTTTTATTCCATCAACAAGTAACAAAACATCTTGGAAAACACGATTTTCACCATTTTCGTGATTATTATTATTTAATACTTGGAAACAATGTTATTTTTCTGGTATTTACTAACTTTTTATTTATATACACGAGGAAAAACCTAAAATAAATAACCTTTTGTGTGATAAAAAGTCTAAAACACATTCAGTATAGTTGGATAGTTAGGTAGGTATCATCAGCACTATTTTATCAGTTAGACCAACGCTATAAATTAATTATAAAAATGGTGTTCAATTGTAGATTCAAAAGAAGTATGTACCGCACAATTATACATTATAAATATCAGCTTTATTTACTTCCTTTAAGTGACACGATAAAATAGGAGTACAAAATAAAATTAGAAAACAAAAAAAAAATCATTTTACCAGGCGAGTAAACATTTAAACCTCTCCATACACAAAAGAAATGTTTTATGTGTCGCGTCGCATCGACGCCAGCTTATTTACAAACTTTAAAGGGAATGAGTAAGTTCTCCATAAACTATACCTGTATTTCAATTTGATATTAACCTTTTATGGTTCTGAAACTGTTTTATTGTAATGAAAATTACATTTTACATACATTTCGATTTCCACTCCGGAAATCGTTTTCAAAAAAAGTTTATTTTAAAATATTAAGCTCTTATTATCTCCAAAAGTTGTTTGGCGGTTATTGTTTTCCAAATTCAAAGGTGACTTGCTCGATATTATCTCAGGGCCCAACATGCGCCATGAGAGAGGGCGCAATTCACACTGAGAGTGCAGTACGGCTAAGATAGGAATGCGCATTTGCCGAATTAGCAGTGTCCAACTAGTGGTCACGTAAAGAACCGTACAAAGATCTTTAGGGCGGGGCTATATTACAAGTAAAACTACATTTTTTGTACTACATTACTACTACTTACACATACTACATTAAGGCAGCTAAGCTTTGCATCAAAACGTTTTCCGAACTGATAAAAGCCAAAGGATACATCCCCCAGTAAGTCTTGCAACTGTGAAGAGACAGGGCTTTTCTGAAAAAGGATGCCGAGTAGGACTTAACATAACGGCAGAGGAGAACACGATAGTGGTCACAAACTCGAAATTAACTCTAGCACTTTGCGCCAATGCGAGTGGCGACTGCAAAATCAAGCCTCTGCTAGTATACCATTTGGAAAATCCCAGAGCCTTTTAGTCACATAGGATTTTAAAAGAAAAACTGTTTAGTTATATGGAGGGCAAATCCGAAGGCGTGAGTCACTAGGAAATTCTAGATAAACCTGGTGTTTGGCTCTTCTGTCTCTCGAAGATGATTTACTCGAAGAAATAAAGTTTATAAAGGTCCTCTACTCCTTGCTGTCCATTGAACAGCAGGTGATTTTTAATTTTAAGAAGTTGTACACTAAGCACATTTTTTGGCGCTAATTGGAAGTGACAGTGAACACAAACCTTGCCCTTTCGGAGTTCTCGAAATACCATGGATCACATAATATCGTGATATACCTAAGGATTACTGATCAGGACTGGCTGAGCGTTACAACGAGAACAGCATTATTGATCAGGTCTGGCTAGGTATTACAACGAGGACCTTAACCTCTGCATGGAAGCTGTAGCCTGATGCTGTAGCTGAAAGGGCTTTCGAAAAGTCAGTGATAGAGGTTTCTCTGAGAAAATCCAAGGGTCTTAAAGTAGATAAGAGAGATGTGAACAAACTATTCAACAAAAAATTGGTTTTGAAGAAGAGCCATATAAGGAGGAGGTTATATCTACAAGAAATATAAAAGAGATCTTGAGAATTTATAGAAAAGAAGATAAGTTGTAGAGTTAGTAAATAAAAATCGTCCCAAAAAAGTTGCAACTGTTCGTGCATCGCAGTTGTTTAACGAAACTTGCCTATCCCATTTCCGCAATGTCCTGAAAGTGAGGAAGAAACAAACCTCCTTGGGCAGTTTTTTATACGATCTGCAGGTGAAAATAAGAAAATTTATTTAATAGTTATAAATAAGTATTCATCATCATCTTTGGCTCTATAACCCTGGGTGGGTCTTGGCCTGTTCAAGAATTAGTCCCCATTCCCCCCTATCTTTCGCCTTGGCTTTCCAATTTCTGACCCCTAGATTCCTAGTCGATCTTCGACTTGAGTTTTGAATCTAGATCTCGGCCTGCCTCTCCTCCTGGTTCCTACTGGCTCTTGATAGAATATCTGTCTTTGGGGGTCTCCATTCTTTCAAGGTGTCCTAACCACCTTAGTCCATTAATTTTAATAGACCGGACGATGTTGCATTTTTTATAGCATTGATACAACTCAAAATTGTAGTGCCTGCGCCATATCCCGCTTTCTTGTACTTCTCCATATATGTGTCTAAGTATTCGACTTTCAAAACGAAGCTAACAGTTCTTCGTCGCTTTTTATCATAGTTCATGTCTCTGACGCGTATGTCAGAACAGGTTTAATAAGAGTTTCATATATTAGTATCTTGGTTTTTCTGTTAATTATGTGTGATGTTAAGAACTGCTTTAGTCATAAATAAGTATTTATTCTTGTGAATACATTTTATTTTATTCATAAACACTTAACAAGAACAACTGAGTTGGTGTTTTGGGAGAAAATTGCTTTGAGATACGAGCAATTTGACATACGAGCAAGGTTGCGGAACGAATTGAATTCGTATGTCAAAGTACCATTGTAATATTAATGTGATATTCTATACGCTTTCCTTTTAATTTCTAACGTTTATTTTTTTTTAGGGGGACCTGTTTCAACTTTAACCCAAAATACAATTGTACCTGTAACCAGCACCGTGAGCGTCTCACGTTCTACAACGCCTCCCATTTTGAGAAGAGGAAAATCTCGCAAACGAAGGGACAGCTCTGATGCCGAAGAAAACATTGTCGAACAACCTAATCCTCAGAAATTCGAAGTGGATTTCCTCGACACCGCGAAATCTTCATTCTTCAGTCCGTTAAGGAATGGAGCTTCCCCTATTAAGCAGCTACCTTTCAGCCCTTCGCAGTTTCTAAATAGTCCTAATATCCAGAACCTCACTTTTGACGTAACGATGTCGTCGACACCCAAAGGACCTCAAAATGCGATAGTTTCGACACCGGTGAAGGATAGAACTAGACCTGTAAGTAAATTTTGAATTAATCAATTAACTAGTTGATGTATTTTACTTCAGTATCTCGTGAAAAGTCGGCGAAGGACAAAAAAAATCTGTTATGTATATTTGTTAAACATGTTTATTATTGTTACAGGATCGAGATTACAGTCCTCTCAGCACGCCACGTGGTCTACCATCGATCATAAAGGTCGAAGCCACCGCATCCTGCTCGACGACGGATGTCACCGCTACGCCAAACAAACGCTTCACCAGTGATACACCTCGTACACCCACACCCTTCAAGAAAGCCCTAGCGGATTTGGAAATGAAATCTGGTCCGATCAAAAATCTTCCTGACACTCCATCCTCAAGATTGGAAGATATCACGGAGATCATGAAGAAGGACCAGGACAGTTCCCATTACGAAACAGACACCAGCGTCATGGTCACTGTAAGTTTTTCAATGATTTTTGTGTGTATGTGTGTCTTACTAAAATACGGGTGGTTAAACCAAAAGATATGGGTTTCTTTAATTTATAGTAAATATTAAGATTTTATACAGATAAACATTTCATTTTGTTTTTATTTTTGGTCAGTTTATAATTAATCTACAAAATTGATTAAATCTGTCGTTGATTTTTATTACGTTTTGAAAATATTCAGTATATATTTGATTTCATTATATATTAAGATTTAGTTAAATGCCGAATTATTTTTGCGAACTGAATTCTTTCTGTATTGTTACTAATCTTAATACAAAAATCAAATACGGAGAAGTTATTTTCAATAGGCAGTGTTATTTTGGTGATACAATGAGAACCAACGTGTGTCTAGCTTTCTTCCTATGTGATTTCTTCTATATAACATATGATGACATCAGAAAGGGAGTCTGGTCACAACACTGATTTTTCAACTTGAGTAGAACAATTAACAATATTAATTAATAAAATTATACAACACAATAAAATACCGGAAGAATGGGAAACGAGCGAACTAATTCTACTATTAAAAAAAGGAGATAAAAATCAGCCAGAAACTATAGAGGTAAAAACTTGTTAAATACTTCCCTAAAACTTACAACTAAATAGATTGCAACTTACAGATGCAATATTCGTCAACAACAACTTAAGCAAACATATTAATAACAACAACAGCCAAAAGATAAAACACTTACACAGTGATGTATACAAGCTTACATGTGGCGACTGCCCCAAAGCTTACATAGGTCAAACGGGTAGAACCTTTAACAAACGGATAGTAGAATACAAACAGGTTTTCAATAACAGAAAAACATATTCACTTACGCACTTCACCTTCTAATGGACTATTATTTTAAAATATTTTCAATAAACAATCATTTAATATTTGAAATTTAGTGGTTTTTTCAACAAATTTAATATAAACAGTATAAAGTTTTTAAATCGATTTAACGTTTGGGGTACTTCTTATATTGTTATGATCATATACACATTTATAAGTAATTTAAGTGTTAGCACTGTAGCAGACAAATAAATTGGAGCAAACCATCGTTAATGAGCTAGTTACCATCTTTTTTTGTTTAGAACGATAGTGGCTATATGACCGGCAAACGAAAAGGAACTGCGTCTTCTGCAGCCGGCAAAGAAAACGTACTTCCTAGCAAGAGGGTGCGTAAAGCGTTGGCCCCTTCATGGGCATCGTCTTCCTCCCAAATGAGCTCTTCGGATATCTCGTTCGCAGTCGAGACTCCTGTAAGTAAAATAGAATCGCATGCTTATCAAACAATATATAAATAAGTAGACAGATATCTGATATTTGTGTATGTTGAAATACATTTTCATTACAGTATATTTACGTTAACAATGAAGTGATATGTAGCGATGTTGCCAAATTTATTAGAATTTCTTAGATTTCATGAAACATATTGTGCTGTTGGTAGTTATTAGACATTTAAAATAATACAATTTCATATTTATTGGCTTAACTGTATTTAAATTCTTTGATAATTCTTTAATAGGAACGAAATATGTTATTTCAATTTTAACGTAGTTTATACTTTAAACAAATTCTGTAAAAATAATGATTAAGACATAGAATATAGATGACACAATACATTTGCAGACAAGAGAATAACGCTCCATTAAAAAAATGTCAACAAATTTGATACATTTTGATTTGTTAACAAAATTAAAAACGCTGATAAATAAAGTTAGCTGTATCAACATAGTGAATGCTTTTGGCGACAGCACATTCAAAGTTGATAATGCTCAAATGTACTGAGTCTTATCCTGTCCAATTCTGGTCAGAGAAAGTGTTTGGCTGTCTTTTCTTTAGCCAGGAAAAACCTTTAACCAGTTAAGTCTTTTGGCTTCGATTGTGTCTATTGTGTCTAGATCGATTTCCATTTCTCTCCGAATATCTTCGTTTCTCACCCTCTCAAGTCTAGTGAGCTGGCAACATCGTCTCCAGTAGTTCATTTCCATGGCCCTAATTTTTGATTGGTTTCTTTGGTTCTTTTCCCAGAGTTTGGCGCCGTACAGTCTATTATTGTTTTATAAATTCTTTTATTTTCTTTTGTTATTTTTTTATTCCATAATAGTCAGTGTAGCTGTCTCGTGGCTGATCTTGCTTGGCCAATCCTGGAATGTATTTCTTCGCTACTTCCTACTTTTGTTGTTATTTGGACTCCCAAGTTGGTTTTATAATTCCCATTTCAATTTGTAAGCTTTCTGGTTTTTCTCCTACAACGAAGTACTCAGTTTTTTGTATATTAATTGTGAGGCCCCATTTGGTGTACTCATCTTCCAGATTTCTAAGCATGTAGCCTACATCACTCTCGTCTTCAGCTAGAATGGCTTGGTCGTCAGCGAAGTGTATCGTGTACAATCTATCATCTCCAATTAGGATGCCCATATTGCAGCACTTTTTTCTTCACAGTGAGAGTGCCTCATTTAGATATATTTTGAAGAGTGTAGAGGCTATGCAGCAGCCTTGCTTTAGGCCCTTACTAATAGGAATTTCTCTAGTTATTCTATTTCCAGTTTTATTAATGTTTGCCGTCATATTTTTGTAGAGCTGTTGTACTGCTTGTATATTTTTTTTGCTTATTACTTGTTTTTCCATTGCTACCCAAAGCATTGAAAGTGGTACACTATGGTATGCCTTTATCAAATCTATAAAGACTATATGAGTTGAAAGGTTGTGGGCTAATCTTTTCTCGATAACTTGCTATAGAGCGAATATACTGTCCATACAGGATCTGCCTGCACGAAAGCCATTCTGTTCTTTTACATCTGTCATCTCTTTTTAAAAATTTTTTTAATAATCTCTTCTTTCTCTTTTCTCTATTCTTTCATGTATAAAAGTTTGTTTTGAGACCCATTTTTTCGTACCAGTGGTTACATTTTATCCATTCCATCCAGTCCGATATCGTTCTTTGGTATGTGCTTTTTGCTATTCCAACGACAGTTTTGCCCCTCCCTGCCAAGTAGGTCCACTTTTTCGTTGCCTTCAATACCAGTATATCTAGACACCCAGATATCTTTACCAATCCGAATCAGATTCTGAAGAAAGTTCCAAACTAACTTGGAGTCAATTCGATAATATTAAAGTGCCACTAATGCCGCAGTTCTTCTTTATTAGTCCCGCAGACAAATTTATGGCATACATTTCTTCTTGGAAGATAGTGGTACTGTCACTAAATCTTAGCTTTGGTTTCTTTCCATATACTCCAGCTCCATCTCCTTCATCGGTTTTAGAGATATCTGTATACCAGCACTGATTTGCTATTCTTCCCTTCCTAGAAAGACGACTAGGTTGCATTGCATCTGGTATTAGTTACAATTCTGGATGATTTTTTATTATCTCTCAAGATTTGATGCCTTTCTCTCTGCTTTTTGGCCTCTTATCCGTCTTCTGTATGCCCCTCTCTACATTCGCCTCATTGTCCATAAATATATGTAATGAAGGGAGGTCAAGTAATCGTCAAGTATGACCTCCATGGAGGCGGTTGGCGTTGAAGCTTATTCAGCTTCTCTCTGTTGGTCTTACGTTAACATTTATACCACCTTACCATTGTTCTATACTTAATCATAAATCTGACTACAGTTATATGTAGCCGGTAAATCTGTTTGGGTTCCATAATCCATGGTTTCTCAAATATTTTTCCACGTGTCCAAAGGGAAAGCTCCGCTTTGTTAGATTTCATTCCCTCTTTGACAGTTTCCTCATACGGAGCGGCATCTAGATGTTATCTAGGTTCCGTCTTCTTGCAAAACTGATTAGTACTGTTTTACTAGGATTAACAAAGAGTGTTTCCCCATTGCACCAATTATTAAGGATATTTAATGTTCGTTGGGGTATGCTGGATAGAATATTTCCACCAGGAATGACCAAAAGGGAGGAGAAAGCACTCACTCCCCTGTGGGCATTTCTTAGCTGTTTTGGCCACAACCTCCTCCTTTCAGGACTGTTAGAACAAGTCTATTTTCCATAGTCTTAATTGCATACGGTAGTGGATATCCATCTTGATACTGTTGCACCATAAATCGAATTTGGTAGTCCATTATTAAACGCGCCTTCTATATTTAGAAGGCGGTTAACGCAATCTTTTCATTATTAATGGAGTGACTGATTTTCTGAACTACCTCGTGCTTGATATACATGCTGGTTTTAATTGAGGATGATTCTTCAAGTGACCCTTCCTTAATATGGCGTTCTATTGCTTTCAACAGAAATAATGTAAAACTGAGTTAGGTAGGGCGTTGTCTTGTCGTCCTATTTTATGTATGTAGACCATCGTTAGAGTTGTCAAAATCTTTGCTATATAACCTAGTGTTATGGTAGCTCTACATATCTCTTTTAGTATGGGCAATAAGATGGACAATCCTTATTGTAGTAGGGCAGGCAATATTCCATCTTCCTCTGAAGATTTAAATGTAGCAAAGTTTTTTATAGATAAATCCCAGTCTGCTGATCAATAATTGTTGATCCTGGGAAGTGGTTGCATGCAATTTTTTAGTCAAGTATTTGAAACCCCAATGGGCTGTTCTCTTTGTCCCTACTAATGCAATCTTTTGAGTCCTTAGCTCTGGAATCATGTCCCTTTAAAAGGAAAGTTTGGTTCTTATACGTTGATGATACTCTTGTCTCATCACGATCAAAACACTCTTCCTTCTTGTCTCGAACATCTGAATGTTCTGAACATCCAAGATTTACAAAGAAGATAGGAAATAATTGGTTTCTTCCCTTCCTCGGTGTATTGATTCTCGTAGGCTGAATAGTCCATTGCGTCATTCAGCGTACAAATAACCGTCTCAGAAATGATTATTTAAAAGCATCATCTCGCCATCATCCAATCATAAATCTCTCATCCACGAACTTCATTACCTTCAAGATATCCTTATCTCGAGCGGTTGAGTCCACAATTTAAAAGATTACACACTTGTCCTACATCTGTTGGCTTTTTTTTGTGTACATCCAAAAGCATCAAACATGCATTACATCTGGTCATTTGTCTCATTTTGCAATGACAAAATACTACGTCAACAGATACGTTGCTTGGTAGCATGATTTTCCACCGCCATAATGAAGATGAAAATGGTGGACGACGCGAACGATAACCCATATAAGAGTCTATGCATATTTAGATTCTTGCTGATCTTCATATCGACTTCGATATCCTCGAAAATATTCTTTTTATGAGTACCGAACAATTCAATAACAAATAGGACAGCGGAAATTGGTTTTCCGTGGTTCCCAGTCTCATTACACAATGCTACCCACCGTAGATGTATTGATATCCGTATTTTTCCTTTATGAGGTTGTTAAACGACATATTCCAAAGCATTCTGAAGGATCGTTTCTGAAGACAAGTATTAATTGACCACTTGAGCGTCCCATTTCAGCCCACACGTCACTTCTCTGAGATATACCAATAGCCAACAGGAAGACCGACAGCTACAGTTACGAATCCTTGACCACCTTATCACGCTGTCTATAAACCAAGATACCCCATCCTTTCAAGACGCTACAGGAGCCTAAAGTAATGATCTTCTCTGAAAACTACACTACATACCATCCAAGGAAAATGACAATCGTCTCATTCATTTATTTCAAGGGATTCACGTTTCTACTTTGAGTATGTTGACCCTAGCGTTTAAAGACGATTAAATAGTTCTGAGTCTGGCCGTGTAAGCTTCAAATTTCATTTTTTATTTACCATAATCACTACCTTTATTTATATAATAATGTACACAAATATTAGATGACTTATTTGGCAGTGCTTTATTTTGAAGGGATAATCTTATTGATGACATAGCTTGATAGTATCTGTTTTAGTTTACATATCTAATAAAGTTTATTGATATTTAATAAAAAAATCAATTTAATCTTTTAGATTTTTTTGTACTCATTTTATTAGTCCAATCGTCGGAGATTTGACCTCTAAAAATCATTCAACAAGCTGAATTTTGTTGAGAATGACAATTTTGAGACCCAAAAGAGATGCAAAAAAGTTTACCACTCCTATCCCCCGGTTTCCCTCTAAAACGCCCCCTCGAAGGGGGTGGGGAACGGAATTCAGATTTATACCGTTGAGATGCAAATTTTATTTAAAATTGATTTAGTGCGCATAACTGACGTTTAAAATCGGCGGTCTCTTCAAGCATTGTATCTAAGAGAACGATTAATTCTACAGAAAAAGTTCAAAATTACCTCATTTACATTTTTTTATGTAAAACATTTTTTTTCTACTGCGTACATATTCTTGGTAAATCGATTTTTTCCGTTTTTCCCCCTACGATTAGTTATTTTAGGGGGAAGCCGGAGGGTAGGGGTGATTAAATTTTAAGATTACTACACTCATAACGTAGTTAAAACACAAAAATGGAAATGTTCCAAAAATGCAGTTTACACGTTAACCTGTTAAGATATTTCTCGAAAATATCTGACAAACCAGGACACCTCCTAAAAGAAGGTGTTATTTGGTATCTTAAAACACAAAATGACATGGTTAACATGTGTACTTTTTAAATTTTACGAAACTATTTAGATACTTATCACAAAATATAGTAATTTTCTTACATTGCTTATTAATAATGAAATAATCATAAGTTTTACTGAAATGAAATTAATTTTCATAACGGTTTTCGGGTCCGAACTCGTCTAGGCACGGGGATTTTTCTATTAAAAACAGAAAGTCTCCTGTCTATCGGATCTGTACTCTTCCTGAGAAAAAGTATCCAAATATACAGCTGCGAATTTAATAAGTTGGGTTAAAATAGAGTAAAAGTATTTTTCAGTATGTACTGTTAACGTTGTTTATTTTATTTTTTACTATTATTAATTATTATTACTAAAAATATTCTAGTTAGAAACGTAGTTAGTTATTACTAGGCATATACTATAGATTATCCTTTCAAAATATATTTAGTAAAATCAACGTGGAGGTTACTATAAAAATTCTATTTTACTTCCAGAGTAAGTCATTGGGAGGGGACACTTCGATATTATTCTCAACTCCGTCATCAATAATGAAAGACTCCTTGGGAGTGACAGGAATGATGGACTATCACCCTCAGGCAGGATCCTCCAAGGTACTTGGATGGTTTCATTTTGGAGATAATTTCCTTTCCTAATCCTGCTACCCTACAATGTCACACCGATTCCCTTTTTTTTTGTTACCTTTTTTTAATTTGTTTTGGGGTACCGTAGTTTCGGTTTTTGGTCTCTCTCTAGCTTGAAGTCGTCTTTACGATACTATATTAAAGAGATACTTGCGCGATATTTCGGGGCCAGTGTTGAAACAATTTTTGATATTCATTTTTTATTATATGTCAAATTTTAAATTCGCTGATTTACTATATATTTTTCACAGAAACAAACTTCCAGAAAAGCAGTCATTTTAATTATTTTAACCTATTCTTTTATAAATGCAAGTCACATATTTAACTTAATGGTATAAAACTAGTTAAAATTTGGATACAGTTAAAAGATACAGAAGTATCAGATACAGAAGATACAGAAATAATTATTGTTGCAGTCGAAGACCAGGGTTTATGAAGTTAAATCAATATTCCGAACAAAACAAAATTTTCGAACTGTGGCCACCAAACTGTTATTATTTTTAAAATACTGTTCAACAGTGATAACGCGTTGTTTTCTCGTATAACTCTCCATTTTTAGTAGCCCCAAACTGTCAGCTGTCAAACTTTTTTTTGCCAACACTTTACTAAACAAATGGCGGCAAATTCAAATCTTGCGTGAATTTTGGGACACCCAAAGTTGTTAAAGTGATGATATTTTTTACGTTAAAACTTATTACAATCAATGTGTAACTAAGAAGTTATTTCAAAACTTTTTAACTAATCAAGAAAAGTTTGAATTTTTAAAAATTTGTAAAAGTGATGCAAAAATGATCCTCTACAAATAGAGAAAAATATTGTAAGATATACTTGATCGTAAATATGAACACGAGGGTATTGGAAGCAAAAGATTAGCGATGGTGTAGTTAGCGCCATAAGCTATTTCAGTAAGAATTTACTAGAAATAGACTGCATAAAATTACTAAGCATAAACTACAACTCGTCGAGTGAATCGATTTTTTTTGATCGCAAGAAGTGTAGATGCGAAACTATAGAATTGTCTTAAAAATATATTTATTCCGGCAATTGTACACAAAGTTTCTTAAAAAAAGTAATGGAAGCTAAATTGTCGGTGTTCAGTCGTACGGATTAGACCAATATCCCAAATTTGAACAAAGTATGTAAGCGATCTTGTCAAAAATTAACAAGAATATTTACATATTCTGAGTTCGCTGTTTTTCTTGAAGCTCTTTCTTATTCTCACATTTACTAATTAAGGTTAACTTTTAAAGAAACTGGCTCTGAACGTATTTCATCTAGAATTATTATTCATAATCTGCATGACAAAAATTATAGTTAATTGAGAGGAATGCCATAAAAATATAAGTCTGAAGCTAATATAAGAATAATCGTGACATATTTAGTAGAATATTAACACTATCGTTTGTAACAAATAATTTTTGCGTGTACTTATTAACATTATAAAAAACTAAGGATATTTTTTTATTGGAAACTAATATGTGGTGGGAAAAAATTAACACAACGAATTTCTTACTTTTATAATTATAATTGCGACAAAAAATACATTTATTACACATTACTTATAGAAAACCAGGTTTCCGTTTCTTTTCTCTATTGATTGTGTATTTTTAAATTGTTTTAATTCCTTTTTATAATCTTTTTTCACCCTTCATCTATGCTTTTCTGGCTTTGCCACTAACTTTATTTCTTCTATAACTTACACTTTTTTTTTACTTTATTATGCTCCTAATTTTCACTGTTATTTTAGAGTTAAAGTCCAGTGTGAAATTTTTTATCGTGATATATTTTCATTTTGTTTCAGTCTATCGAATATCAATACGCGATAAGACTTGGCAAAGCTTTAAACGCGACTTAATTTGTTGGTGGTCTGAAAAGTCCTCGGCCTAATAGTGAAAACGGCAATTTACGCTTTTAAAGAAGTTTTATATTTCCTATTCTCTAATATATTCCAAAAATCTGAACAGCGAGGAAAGTATTGAGTTTTAAGAATAGATGAAAGTCCTAGAATGGCAAATCTGAGGATTAGAGTAGGTGTTTCAACACTTCATGTTACAGATCACTCAATTTCCTATTATCAAGACATTTTTGTGAGCAGTTACATTGTCCTGATGAAATTTTTTTTCTTTTAACTGGTTCTTCTTTCCATAATTACTTGCGTTCTGTTTCGTTATAAGTTCACAGGATAGTATGATTTAGTTGTGATTTTACCTTTTTCAAGATAGTCAATTATTAAAACTTATTTCGTTTTCAAAAACACAACACGTCATGTCCTTTATCTCCGATGGCACCGAACTCGCATTCTGTGAAGCGAAAGGAACCTGTTTTATCTGCTCTGTACATTTGCTTATGTGATTTTTTATATGGATTGGTGAATAAATGTTTCACTCATTGTACCCTATCGACAAAGTCACGTTTGTTTTTCTTATAACGCATCAAGCTCAACTTGTCTTTGCTTTGCGCAAAGCCTTTTCATGTCAATTTCCTGGTGTAGGATTAGACCAACATGTTTCTTCGATATCCTTAGAGCATTAGCAAGTTCACGTTCCTACTAAAACTAAATCTGTATTTTGCCGGTGACTTCAGACATGACTGCGATTTTTGGATGTGCTTCGTGCGAATCATCTTAAATGCTTTTATAACCACATTTGAACTCAGTCACATGATTTGTACAAACCAAAAATTAATTGCGATCGATTCTTCTAGAAACTTTCTTTCACGAATAATTATTTTTTCACTCTACGGTACTCGATTTGTTCCGGGGGCTGCCTGGATTGACTTGTTATTGTACATGGTGTATACTAACAGGTGTAAAAGAAGAAATAACACAAGTAGTGCTACGATCTCTAAGCGAGGCCTAGAACTTCTTAGACCGCCTTTTTTTTATTTGTATAATGGCTTTGGAATAGCCAATTAGCCATAACTAATTTATTCGTTCACTATCAAGCCTACCTGTGGCGATATTACCGCTCGCAATCAATTTATTGTACTTCTTAAGTTGGTTTTTTATTCTTTGGTATTTCGTTTTTTGTTTTGTTTCTAACTTCACACTTATTATTTTCTTTATAGATGTTTTTTAATGATAACGTACGTCTAAGAACTATATTTTCTCCCGTTTTGTTAATTTTTTAGCAATTTCAATTGAATTATAAAAATAGGTATTCAATTGTTCGAATGTTCTACAAAGCACTATTAACATCTAAGTAAAAAATGTAGCTTTAACTTTTTCTACTAAATAGCTTGATCATTATCTAAATATGAAAAAAAAACCGAATTACTTACTGGGTGTCTCACAGTGTAGATTATGGTGCATCTGTGTAATTCTAACAAGATTGCAGTTAAAAACAAATAATTACATGTGCTTGCTTATTTGTGTAATTTATTTTTCATCCAAGCTCAGGTTGTATTCAATACTTTTAGGTTAGTAAGCAATTTGCGCCTGTGTACTACTCAAAAATGGAATTTCGGCAAAACTGAAACAACACAAATTCCACTTCTGATTACGTACATTCGCACAAATTGGGCGGGTATAAACATCTGATGAGTAAATGTTTGGTTCATTGTTTAAATAAAAATTATCTCTAGAAAAACATGTTAATGCCAATAGTGACACGTGAAACTATCATTTTTTAGGTTATTTCCTGACCTATAAGGATTTTATTTAAATAAAATTCTTAAGACATTCAAGACGTTAACCTGACAAAAAATTTGTGCTTTTATTTCAGTATCGAAAATTTTGTTAGCTCTGCTATAAAATTTTCTTCCGAAAAAGGTACTGTTACTAAAGTAACATCGGTAATTCGGTTTATAATCACGACCACAACAAAACATAGTGGTTTGACATCACCAATCATTTAGAGTTACATTTAAATACTATCAATAAATTCTCACAATGTCAAGAGAAAAATTGAACAAGCAGTTTTGTTACTTCAATCAAATGACTAGCGTATAAAGAGTGTTCATTGAATGTTAAAAAGACGATATAACTTTAATATTAGAACAATATTTATATTATTTTTTGTAGTCCATTGTGTATCTTTTCATCAGTAAAATGATCTTGAACCAGAGGAAGAGTATTTAAAAAATACACGTGAAAGAAAGTATTCCAAAACTCGACAGTAGAAATCCGAACATTTCTATTGATGAAGATGAAATTCAGATTTTCTACTTTAATCTGTGTCTTTAAATTTGCAAGGTAAAATAAACGATGCTTAAGATGTAAGAGAGATATGGAGGATCTAAAACTGTCTGTTGCATTCCACAACATACCTCCTCATTTAAGCAAAAATTTTTGGCAAATTGGTTTCTTGTACTCATAAAGAGTATAGCTAAATAAAAGAGAGGACAGTTAAGTTTGATTTCGTCAATAGAAATCTTCGGATTTCTACTTTCGACATTAATTATCAGATGTCGCTATAGCGTAAAATTGAAGCCTATTTATAGTTGTTTCGTTTGACGGAAAATATTTGTTTTCACGTTTAGAGCTTCTGTACCAGTCGCTCTGATGATTCCTGCTAGGATGAAATTCGTAGGTATAAGCGAATATACAGAGGCACTATACGTGAAATCAAATCTTAACTGTCCTTTTATTCCAAAACTGTTTATATTGTGTGTTATAGACTTTTCTTCGATAATTTCTGTTTTGGGCCGCCATCCAGTTGGATAATTTACTCCCTTCTATTTTTTACAGATAATAATGAAGGTACTCCTTTTCGTACTATCCGCATTTTGATACATCTATGTTGATGATCTTCTTCTTCTAGTGCCGTCTCCACTAATGAAGGTTGGCTATAACCATTGTAACTTCGTCTCTATCTTTTGCTTTTCTTAAGAGCGTCTGTGTGTTTAACCCGGTCCAGTAGCGAATGCTTTTTCAGCCAGGATATTTGTCGTATACCAGGACTTCTTTTTCCTTCGATTTTACCCTTCACAATCAGCTGCAACAATTCGTACTTATCATTTCTAAGTATGTG